CAAATTCCTACTTTTTGTACTGAGTGGGAGCTGCACCAACAATCCGCCGTCGAATTCTGGGCCAAGCCGACATGGTATCCAAACGCCAACCAGTCACGGAAGTCCACGTCGACCAAACACTCGCCTCCGCAACCGCACGGGTCCGTCTACACCTCCCTCCCGAGCTCGCCCCTTCGCTTCTCGAACACAGATTCCAAATTATGAACCTCTGGAGACCTATCGGGCACTCTGCATTCGACATGCCGTTTACGCTCTGTGATTTCCGTACCGCCAGTGCGGAACGGGGCTTGGTCGCGGTCGCGCGGCTGGCTCCGGAACGCAAGGGCGAGACGTACAGGCTGCGGTGGAACCCCGAGCATAGATGGAAATATTTGAAGGGGATGACGCCGGAGGGGTTCGTGTTGATCAAGTGATGCGTGCCTGGAGTTGCTATGTACTTGACAGCAGTGATGGCCGTTTTGCAGCTTCGACTCTGCAGAGGGTGTCTCAGTATTCACACCTCATACTGTGTTCCTAGACCGGTCGATGCCGGAGGGAAGTCCCCCGAGAGAATCGATTGAGTTGAAGGCACTTGTGATTTATGATTGAATGATATCGCATCGAACCAAATTCCATCGTGCAAGTCTTCACGTCGTATTTCTTTCTTATCCAACCTATGGTGGGAGGGGCCTCGCACTGATTGCGTATATGAACTCCAAGTATGTGTTGCTGCTCTTTACGGTCCTCTTGCTTTCTTATACCCCGATCGTCCATCTCTGTCTCGCCTTGGTCCCTCCCATCTTGTTTTTCGCGCCTTGCAATTCTACCCACAACCCAGTGTCTCAACATGAATAATCTCGTGGGACCATTCGGATGCTCTCTGTACAGCGCACCCGGTGTATACCTCACGAGATATTCAAGCTCTCTTCTTCGTACCTTGTCTGATAATTCTCGATCCGCGCACGGGCACAGCTAACGCTTGTGTCGCGCCGTGACTTCACCTGTCTTCTTCCGTTGTGAATATGTGTGTGGTTCCTGGTTCTCGCAGCCTCCGTTGTACTGTGCGCTCTGTGCGAGGTAACTCGTCCGCTGTTGGCCGTTCATAATGTCCGGTTAATTCTTGTCTTTCCTGCCATCAATAGCTTTTCCTTCTCCCCGTGTGTCCCATTTAATTTATTCTGCATACAGATCAAAGTATTTATTCTGCACCCATTCAGACCGTGTCTCGTCGCGTGCTTATCCATCTTCACACTGCGCTGTCGACGCGTCCTCACCGACCGCACATCGCTTCTCTACCTCTGGGCCCGTTTATTTCGAGGCATGTGCGCAGCAAACACCGAATCTTGCCTAGACTTACGACGAGTCCGTTGGCATTGCATTCCACGTAATTTCGGTTGGCCTTGATCAGCCCCATAGCATTTTCCTGCTCGAAAAGCGCGACAACACGCTTCCCATCAACCCCAACGCACATGGGGCACCAACACCATCGCGCTCATCGGCCCGCAGGCTCGAGTCCAGCCTGTCGTATGAAAACAGTTTGTGTCGATAGACAGAATTCATAGACAGACGGTCACCGGTCTAATCGGCCCGTTTTATTCCTTCCTTTGCCCACGTATTAACCCTATACCTCGTGTACAGCTTCCATGTCGTAGCCTAAGGAACTGGTTTGCGAAAAGATCTCACGAACATCACTGAAATTCACATACAGATCCGTGTCCAATCTCATCGAAGAAATAATTGCGCTCATGCTACTCTCCAGTGGATCCATTGACTTGTTCGCGCCATCCAGTACCTCCACGGTCGTCCTCGGTACTTCGTCTACCTCGCATTTTAGCTGACCGACGTTACCTCCATTCATATTGAGGCGCTCTTCTCTTCTCGACGCTTTGTCGTGCACGCAAATATTCCAAGCGACTTGCATGTTTCCATCGGTCAACGGCCCACTTCCAGTGGTCTGCTTTCGTCCTCATCAAGGCCTATGCCTTCGTTCTACGGCCCAAATTCTGTTCTATCCGTCACCGTGCAAGGGAGACAACGTTGTTTAATCCAGCAATTAATATTCGTACGACATTTTGGTTGGCATCCACTAGCCGGTTGACAAGTTCGTACAGGACTCCGCTGGCTGGTTATGAATTCACGGTATATTCATCTTTCTTCGACGGTTAGATTGAACTCGAGAGCCCATGCAGATGAAAAAATGTCCGGAAAAGTTCCAGCGAGTCCTTATTCGCCGGGGTCGAAGTAGCGAATGAATCGTTTAACTTGCAACGTAGCGACTCAGGCGGACGAAGTAAATCAACTCAAAGCGGGGAACATGAGCTACTCGGTGGAGGAAAGTCAAACACAGGGGCACAGTAAACATAGTAGTGGTGCGCTCTGGGCCAGGAAAGGGAGGGTGCAAAGACGATGATGAGGAACATCCGGACCTTAAGTTAGACGAGAGTTGTATATATAACTGCAGCGCAGGAGAAGAATCGACGCAGGCTATCAGAGACGCAAGGAAATAATATATTGATATGGGAGAAACACAGAGCATGTGTCGAAGTTGAGGCAACTCAACCGGGTGCGGAGTACGCACCGTGATTCTGTTCGCCAACCGGCGTCTTGAACAGAGTATCCGAGTATGCGGCGCCACAGTTGGCGCCGATGAAAAGTGGGGAAGCTCGACGCACTTAGGATAGCGTAGAATTGCGCCGCATCTCCGCCGAATTCCAGGAGAACAACTGCTAGCGGGGATCAACCCGGGAAGAGGAGCGCAAAAAAGACTTGCCGCGGATACCGCAACTATTTGCGAAGGCTTATCGCGACCACGCCTTGCCCCAGGGTTACCGTTCACCACATCGCAGAGTTGGCCGGTGGACGCTATATGCGCGGTACGCTCCCATCCGTGAATTTGCGAACGGGGGCCGCCGCTTATCTGTGGAAAGGCACGTATGAGGATATCGGTTGAAGGAGGAAATGGTATCGGCGAGAAGGAAAGAATCAGAACAATCTATTACTTACCTTGTATCCCCGAACGTCGCGAATATCAATCCATCCCGTACGGCAGCCCCGCAGGCACACATTTGGCGTCGGCGACTGGTGTTATATGCTCCGTAACAGTTTACATATTCACGCCGAGTCTCGAGCCCGTACACGATATCCTGAGCCCACGCCATGAGCACGTCGTGAGCTCGGCGGGCACCGTGCAAGGACATACCAAGAAGAATCCCCCGCGTGCGACCTATAGCACTTCGCCTGACCAGGGCCCGCCGAGCGTACAGCGTCTCCGAACTGAGGAGCACTTCGGAGAGCAGGATGAGGAACGAAGAAGTGGGCAGCGTGGAGCTTACCGTTGCCGTCGACACGCGGACCGGTGCGCTCAGACGATGCGCAGCAGCGAATCCCGCCTCTCCCGTGCACGGCCGGCCAAGTATGCGAGACGAGGAGAGGAGAGAGGGACCAGTTCTGCGGAAGTGAGAGACGCGCAGAGACGCCGCAAGAAGCGCATATCTGTTGGATCGTAGGATGTCGAAAGCTCTGGGGAAAGTGCCGTCGTAGATTAGGTGTGTGGTGGATGTGCTCAGCGCGGCGCAACGAGATGAAGAACTTGTGTACTTAGTACTGAGTACATATCCCGTAGCGATGCATGCGCCGTCTGGGCTGCGATCCGCGCATCCACCGTCAGCGAAAACTGAGCCAGGCGCTGATGTCTCATCCCCGAACTACGCGCGCAGAGCGTCGCGCACAGTGGATGGATGTGATCGAGGAGGAGCATACGTGTAGTCAGTAGGCTGCCGGGGGTGTCAACAAGATAAGTATCCGCCAGCAACAAAACCGATGTGCTACACACCACACCTGTAATTCGAGACAAGTCCTCCTAAGAAAGAAGTCGGCAGGGAAGCGCGTTGGGTTGTGCGTACGCAGGAGCTGGGCGTACGAAGGCGGAACGCGGGCGGGGACGGCGTCAGGGCGCGGCGGGTGTAGGGGATACCATCGACGGGGGTTAGGGTGCAGGCTGTTTTGTGGCGGAGGGGGGAAGGTGCGGGCGGACGAGGGAGGAGCGCGCGCAGGAGTCGGCGGTGGCGGTGAGGCGTCAAGATTGTCCGCGGGTATAAGCGCGACAGCGCGGGTATATGCGTTCCACGGCGGAAATGTGTCGTCGTCGTCGTCGTCGGCGGTCGGCGTAGCGAGAGCTGCGAGGGGTTGCATTGTGCCTGCGGTGCGTTAGGGCCGACATGGGCAGGGCGGAAAGGCGAAGAGGCGCGGTAGAGGTGGTGCGGATGATGATGAATCGACGACGGTGATGGATCTGGAGTCGAGGATGTGGACGTCGGGGAGCTAGTGATACTGAGATGGCGGAAGACGTGATGACGGGGGTGCGGGCACACACCATATCGCAGTCAAACACGCCTTTGCGGACCTTGTCGAGGATCTCGCACGCGGCGCGCGCGAACGTGTCCTCGACACCGTCCCCGCTCTTCGCGCTCGCCTCCACGAACAGCAGTCCCTCCTCCTCCGCGAACCGCGCCGCGTCCACCGTCGGCACCTCCCGGCTGCTCTTGTCTATAATCACCCCGTATAATCAACACGCATCCCAAATAACCGAATAGAAGAGAGAAACACTTACCCGCGTCGCACAAATCCCGCTTATCCCCCACCAGCACGCACCTCCTCGAACGAGCGCCGAGAGGACACGTCGTACACCAAAAGGTAGCCGGCGGCGCCGCGGTAGTACAAGCGCGTGATGCTGCAGAAGGACTCGGTGCAACTTTATCACCGGCGCAGCAGGAGGAGGAGTGACACTAGTGACAGAGTGTTGACAAGAGTAACCGCGGCAATGAGGCACCCGGTTACCGTGTTACCTGGCGGAGCCGAGATCGGCACAGATCGGCCGGCGGCAGTTCAATTTATTTTTAGGGGTACTTCTGCTCAGAGTATTGTGGACTTGCGGCTGAGGCAGATTCGGTGGCAAATTCTATTGTGCGGGCTGGCTTTCATTTTTGGTGAGCGTCGCAAGATTACTCGAGGAAGACTCTTAATTCGGACGCGGGGAGTCGAACCCCGGCCTGCGGCAGTGCTATAGTATGGCCATGGAACGGAACCAGAATGCGGCCGTGCACCGTGCACCACGTCCGAGTGAGAACAACACATTGGAAGCTGGATAGGTGCGTTAATTATCTTACAGCTTCCCGCGAAGATCCAGACGCTTACGAATGTATTTACTTATTTTTGGGAGTGTCCTTCAGTTATTATTATATTTCCTAGTGGAACCGCTGTCATGTTGCAGCAAAACCCGATGGATGATTCGACATAACATAGAGCCATGAGGTGAATTTCGGTCCACATAAATGTTCGGCGAGACCTCGAGAGCAGTACGACAGACGAACAATCCAAAGAATGAAGAAGGTGGAGCCTTGAACATATCATGCTGCACTGCAAGAGACCTGGGCAGGCCGAAATATGGGGCCTAGCGCAACAACTTTGGCTGAAGAAATGTAATACATGGCCAGTACTATCAATGGGCATGATAATGGGCTGCAGCCTCGCCCGTTTCGAGGCTGGTGGACCCCCAACGCCGGCAGCAGACCGGCTTTACAAAATCCTTATCTCGGAGTCCGTGTTTCTGATCTGGAAACTACGGAATGACTGCGTCATATCAAACGAGGGTGTTCCCGCGAGCACACCTGCGATACACAATCGCTGGCTCCAAATAATAAATGAACGGCTGAGCATAGACCGGAACTTAACCAGCGATATTAAACATGGGAAACAATATTCCCTATCAATTCCCCTCGTGCTGGAGACCTGGAAAGGTACACTTAGAAACGAGGGGGACCTACCAGACAACTGGGTAAGAGGTCCTGAGCTTTTAGTGGGTATAGAGCCGATGAGGTCAAATAGACCCCTGTCCCCTCCCGTTGGCCGGCGGGGACGGAATCGTTAAACGGTTTGAGTCCCACACTGTTGCTACCGCTTCATGCGTAAGGCATTTCCTCAGGGGTGGAAAAATCTCTATTCGGAGGTCGAAATTCCTCTAAAACATTACGTCCAATGGAGGCTAACCTATTGTTAGTTGTCCGGTGGAGTCAGTTGTCCTTTGGACAACTACGTACCACCAAAAAAAAAAAAAAAAGAATGAAGAAGGTGATCAGACCCAGTCCAACAATTCAGCTGTTCGTTGCCATTTCCAGCTGTGGTGCGCAAAGACGTAGTCAAAGTGATATATGTATACACCCTCGTAAGGTCCAATGGCGGAAAATCACTGATACATCATGCGGCGGTGATTGGGATTTGGGAAGAAGAGAACTTCGTTTATTATGTACCTACCCCGGGAGCCTGATGTGATCATGTGGATAGGTATCAGGATAATATATTACCCTACTAGACTATTCTCAGTCGAGGCATGAGCTCGTTTCAGACTCGACCTATATCCTACCGCGGACTTATCGGAGTTCACAATGAATGCCAACGTCCAAATTTAAAAAATACTTGCAAGAAGATACGACCTTGGTTTTAACTCGGCTAGCAACACCCTGACGGTTCCCCTTTCCACCGGCAAGTCCACATTTACGTTGGGAAGGAGCGGAGCACGACGGTCTTCTGAATCTCCAAGCCTTTGGACCCAAAATAGCGACCACCTTCGAAATTCAAACACTCGGCACTACGAGGCCAGACGGCCATGCCAACGATGTATTCCCATAGATGATGGTCTATTTCTGGCCCAAACGAGGGTACATTCTGCAATGCCTCGAAGAACTTGGTTTCCACCTGCGAGCGGCGTTCACATAACCAACCCATTACGTCTGGAAGCTCAGTGTGGAGCTCACGCATGACGATACTGAGGGTGAGTGATATTTTGGGTAAACTGCGGCCATGGCTCATCCGGGTAGTGGCAGTCGCCTCCTCACACGATAGCATCTCTGATTTCAGATGTAGCTTCAGCTCATTCTTGGCGACTATTTCACGGTCTATGAGATCGTGGCTGTCATTGCGATCGAACTCATTTTATGGCTGAACAATCACAGCAAGGTCCGCAAAAATACACACACCTCTTCCTTTTGCAAGAAGCTCTGCAGCTTGCCGTTCTTCGCCACCGGAAGAAGATACAGCCCTTTCGTAAACTATAGAGGGATTTCGTAAATCATTCATGCTCGATTTTTGCTTGCCTTTGTTTGACACTTGCGTCGCCGGTTTGCTCCACCTGTCGTCATCAATTGCCCTCGCCGTCAATTCCTTCGCGCTCGACGACTATGGTCTACAGCCATGGCCCATGCCAACAAGAAGAAGAACATTTCTGTAGCTGATTGCATGGGTGGTAGTGTTCATGAGGAGACACGAGGTGAGGTGGGGTCTAAATAAATGCATAGCAACTCCATAGTACTGTTGATACAGACAACAATGAACGTGAGTCATTGGTGACTCTGGTGTTATGTCCGTGCATCTATTTGAAAAAAGTTTTTTTCAAATAGAACAGTGGGGCAGGTAATAGTAGGCTGAAGAGCTCCCTTGGAAGGTGATATAATGGCTCAGCTGGAATGACGCAAGTTGGAATAAGGCAACTACTTACGGCATGGTGTGAGTTTGAATTTTGGCACGCACGACTTTTTTCTTTCAGCGGTTGCTTATGTTCATGCTTGCCGTGTTACAACAAGAGTGTAGAGCCGCGTGGAATTTAGATTCATATATTGTATCCATGCACGGTGTATAGAACGGACATATTAATAGTAATAAATTTTATGAAGAGGCTACTATGTAGATCCCTGAGTAGCTGCAGATCACGCTGCCCCATGAAGACCATAATGCGGGCACTTCGTGCGATCTCCACGACCTTTGCAAGCTCTTGCAAACCGCGCAAGATCGCCTCCTCGGACGCGCTTGCAAGATTGACGGCCCGGCGGCGAAAGGTGAAAGTCTAAGTTGTCCTGTGACAGAGCCGCTTAGAACCATGTTCATTGTCAGTGAATCTCGACGGATGCACAGTGGTTTACAGGTATACGAGCTGCAGTACAGCAATGGATACACATCTTCGATATGTTGGAAGAGGCCGTCGTCGCATGCCTGCTGTTGCCGCCTCCGTGCGACGCGCCGGGGGCGTGTAGTCGTCGCTGGGCTCGGACCAAGGGTACGAGGCGCTGTAGGCTGGGGTCTGGAACGCGGCCTCGAATGCGACGCCGGACAAGGTCGGAGAGGTGTACGCTGCTCACTGAGCGGCATCGAGGCTCTTGCTTGCCAGGAAGTCCTGGATGGTCACATGGTCGTCCATTTGAATGGTACGGTCCCCGGACGAAGACTCCGTCGATGACGGAGAGTAACTCGAGCCTGAAGTCGACGGGATGGGGCTGTGGCTCGACGAGCAACTCGCCGGTGGCAACTTATCCTACATACACACTGTGGGCAATTCCCGTGACGGTACAAAACGTACCGCCACAAGGACGGTTGGCGGACGGTAAGCCCACGGTTGGTCTACGGTAACCATGTTCGGCGTTTCGGCACTCGCCATTTGTGCCGCGGCTTCCTTTTGCCATCTGTCTAAAAACATGCTGCAAGCGCATTTTTTCAACGTGTTTTTCATGCTCCACGGCCGGCTTTTGGGCTCTGGCCTAGTTTCCAACTCACACCAGCCTCTGCGCTATCCCAGAAGCCTGAAAGAAGTACACACAACTTGGTAGCAGTGACACATTAATGATGTGTCATTCAGACGGCTTCGTGATGTGCCGAACATGGATACCGTAGACCAACCGTGAGCCAACCGCCCACCAACCGTCCTTGTGGCGGTACTCTTTTGTACCGTCACGGGAATTGCCTGCAGTGACATCGCAAGATCAATTAGCACATTCTCGAAGAAAAAGATGTAAACTCGCCTGTATGAACTCGTAGGTAAACTCAGGGGATCCCATGAGTTGATCCTGCTGTGCGATATTCGAGAACGACAGCTGGTGGCCTTCACCACTGTACATCGGCTCGGCACTCGGTGCTCTTGCGCTCCCGCTCCACGAATGTTTCAGCGGGAAGTGTAGGGAAGTGTGGAACTCCTTCTAAGCTCACGATTCAAAACAGGCCGCACACTCGACGCCGGTACCAGCGCGCGCGGTTCTGCCCGTGCCAGGAATGGCTGCGCATGCGCAGCCTTGCCGATGTTCAGCGTGTTTCACTTTGACAGCGTACGACCAGTCGGTCGACGGGGGCAGTGCTGGCGGCGGGGGCGGCGGCAACGTGTGTTTTGCCGACCCAGAGACGGCGTCCCCGAGGGCACGCTCACAGCGGTCGATCTCTCTGGCGGGAAGGCCTGACAGTGTCGCCCAGGCGCGGTTGGAGTGGTATTTATCCTGAGTAAACTTGGGCGCGAGTATGAGGTGACGGATTAAGGAATGCTCGAGAACTTGGATGCACGCATGCAGTGGTATTGAGAGCTAGTATCCCCAGTAATTACTGGATACCAGAGACCAGAGGACATGGACGAGAAGATGCGGATGTCGGCTCGTGGGTTTGCGAGGCCGGATGCGCAAGGGACTTCCTCCGCGCGCGCTGCACCCCCGAGCAGCGTTGCTTGTGTTGGCGACACATCACGGACCCTGGACAAAGCGAGCATCGCCTGGGCATGCGCTGGGTCGCAGGATGAGGCTCCCCAAGCCCGGAGCGACTCTGCCGGCACGCCACACGAGCCACACATGCACGCACGCTGGGCGCGACGCGAAAGGCGCGTGCAGCTGCGTGGGTGGGGCGCGCTCTCTCTTGCGGAGACGTAGCCCAGCAAAGCGCAGATGCGTGGAGTATTCTCCTCGCAGAGTGCGCACCTTCTGCTGCCGCCTCTGCACGACGCGACGCTGCCTCTCTGCGTCAAAGATGCCGCCGCCGGGTGGTACCGTGCGCCGAGATCGATGTGCTCTTGGATAGTGAAGCCGAAGTTGCGGCAGCAGCGCAGTTTGTACTCCTTGGCCTTGAGCCCGCACTCCAGGATGTCCTCCGACTTGGACAATACCGACACGCATCCAGCCTGAGAACACGTCGGTAGAGAAAATCTTGAGTCTTTGACAGGCAGGGGATTGAAATTTTGAAAGCTAGCAGCCCCAGAGATTTCAGAGTCCGATTCAAGTATCTCCAGATGGTAGTTGACTAGAGGAAACCGAGTACATGAA